ATTTTCAACCACACATTCTTCAATAAAATAATATATTCCATCACATCAATACTTTTTTCTTCTATTTCAACCACACATTTCCCATCACATCACTATTCAAAAATCAATTCTTCCCCCAAAAATCCCTACCAAACAAGCACTATGTTAGATATCGTCTTATTTTGATTCATTTGTTCTGTCTCTAGGTGCTTTGCTATCAAATATGGATATTCATGAAACGGTAGTCAATCGAAATTATTGTGCATTTCTACCTGAATATATAGTTTTATTTCTTTTGAGATGTTTTGAACTAACATAAAACGCTAATATCACCTTCAAAATAACACAACCTGTGCATTGCACGATTACCTTAAAAATAACACAACCTGTGCATTGCACGGGGTAAAACTAATTATAGATTTCTCTTTGCTTTCAATTCTTAACTTCTTGAACTCCCTTTCTTTTTTAATCTCCGATTGTTCTTTAACAAGTTATACGCTACTGCATCTCAATCACTCTAAGAAATATACATGTAAGGATAAGGAGAATCTTCACCAACTGGCTTCCACCAATCTACGTTTCATGTATTCCAAATACACGGACTTGTAAATGCTAATAAAATTTTCTGTCTGTAAAACTCATGACTTAAAGTTACAGGCTTATCAACTGTTACAAAGACCTGTTAAGAAACAAAGAGAACAAGAAAAGAAAAAGAATTAATGGTGAAAAACCTGCGTACCTCCTTAAAGGTTACATTTTCTATCTTGTCAAGCAAAGCTCCAGTTTGCCTAGCCAAATCTGCAGATAAATGTACAAGCCTCTGCACACGAATTTCCTTTGCAGACTTCATAACCCATGCTGGCTGAGGCAAGCAAAATATTAGTTTATGGATGACCAAAAAATGTACCAGAACAGTATATCAGATATTTAAGCAAGTGAACTAAGAATAGGGAGCATAGTGTAAATTCATGTGACAACCTCATCATAAATGACAAAAATGAGATTTTACTCTGTTTTGAACATCTCTCAAATCTTCATAAATAGCATTGGAACACTTACTGTAACAAGATTACTTGAGTGCCCAAGAGATTTTCGAATAGAAGGTCCTTCGCATACAATATAATTGGCATCACAGCCAACATACCATTGATCCAGTAATCTAGCACCTTCAGCAGAGAATGTGTCAGCTACCTATGCAATAGATACACATATTTGAGAGAATTCCTCGGGTCACCTTGGACAGTTGAATTCATTTGAATTCACAAAACTTCAGGTTTATGATAATATAGCATGTAAGAATTTCACTTGCGATATAATGAAGAGTAAACTAATGAATTTTCAAGTCAGCTGTCAAATGAGATAAGAAACAATTTAACACAGACATTTTGGGAACAATATATAGGTATTCTATATATCATTCAACTAAGCAAGGAAGAGAACTTTAGTGCCTTGGGAAGTTTTTTTAACTCTACCTTACTACATAGCTCTGCCGAGACATCATTATCAACCTGAAATGATTGACCAGAAAAGGGTGCAGCTATAGTTCATTCGGTCTCTCTTTCTAAAAACCGTAGATGTGGTCCTCCAAGCCAGTCAGTTTGTCCTCTATGCTAAAGTGAACCATCGAGAGATGATTTCTCACTGGCAGTATTCAGAGCAAGCCGCTTCAAATCATTGCTCGGGGCACCCGTTTCTCCAATATGATTAACACTATAAAGTGACTCGTTCAACCTCACTGAAACTAATAAAAAGAACCCACTCAATTATTTGAAAGTAGAATCCCTATTTTGTTTAATTCAAGCTCAGACTAAGCCCATGCTGCTATTTTAAGCAAAAATTCATAACATTGTGCACTAAATGGGCTATATGAGACAAGCTATTGTTAAGCCAAATCTGCTTTGACAGAAATGATATGACAGGTCACCTTACTTAGGGGTGGGCGTGGGTTGGGTTGGGTCGGTTTTTGCCTCAACCAAAAACCAACCCAATTATGTGTCGGTCGGGTCGGGTTGGGTTGGTCGGTTTGTATCGATGATTTCCATTAACTAGTTCTAAATTAAATGTTTTAGCTCATGTCTCAATTCAAATTTTCAACAAGAAAATCAGAACTAAAACGAGAATCTAAGAGAAATAAATGAATATATGGAAATAAACGAGTAGCCACTAAATAAAGTAGTGAAGATGAAGAAATGAGAGGTTAAATATGTTTCTTGGTCATGCTCAATGATCTATTAAATAAGTTTGTACAAAAAAGTCTGCAAAATGAGGGCTGAATCTTAGTAATAAGTCGG